TATATATATATATATATATATATATATGTATATGTGTATGTGAATTTACAACTGAAAACTGTGCAGCTATAATCATATATGACAACACAGAGGAGGAAGGAGCCTTGTGTTGTAGCTTTCTTTTCTTTCTTTTTTTCAGATAATTTTCCTTTTGACAAAAGAGGAGTCATAGGGATAGCCATTGGGTTGCAGAAGTGTTAAATAAATCCCAAATGAAATTTGTTCTTCCAAATTGTCTACAATGCACAACCCCCTGCCTTCCATGTGTGTGTGTGTGTGTGTGTCTTCAGAGTAGGTGAGCGCATGTGCAGCGGTGCGTGTTTATCCGTATATGGGTGCATGTCAGTAAACTGGGATTTTATTTAAAAGTTAATTTATTTTAGCAATTTAATGGAAAATTGGAACTTCAACTCAATTTGAAAAATTGAATTGGATTTTAATTTATAATAAATCATAAATTCAAGTGTGAGATGTACCCTGAGTATGCCACCAAGTTTCCTCTTGGTTTTTCTACCTGTTCTTGTGATCATCAAAGCCAATTGTATAGTTTTAATCTTGGTGACCAAAGCTTATAGCTAATGAAAACCCTAATTTTAGAAGCTCAGAAAATTTGAATGTTACATAAAGCCCATATTTGTTGTTTTTTTTATATTGAAATCTTATGCTATGGCAATCACGGGGGTGACTCCTGATATAATAAGGCTAAGCCAAAATAGATCACTGCTATTAATAGAAAGTTAAATGGAAGGAAAATGTGTGAAAGGATATTTAAAATCAATTTATGCTTCCCTTTGGAGATCCTGATTCAATTTTCTAATAGCACCTCACCACATTCCCAAAACGACCTGTAGCGGGTGTGATCACCATAGTACAGCCAATCATCTGATGTTCTGCAGAGGGAGATGGAAGAGACCAGGCCCAATGATACGTTTTTAGGCTTCAATGAGGTAGTTTTTTGGGGTTTATTTTTATATTCCTCACAGCTGTAATGAAAAAAAAAAAACATTTTTACATCACATGAGTAACATGATCTGCAACTGGACCTTACTGCCTTGTAGAAAGAAGAAGAAGAAGGGTTAGTTGGAGCATGATGTCACGGGATATTTGGATTCATGAGACAAATTAGTATTTTTTAACAATTATTTCGCAATGATGAGCCCGATGAACACTAGAGCTATGGCTGAAACATGGTTGTATCTCAGGTTTACATCCGCCGCTGCCATATTAACAAAAGTATTTATATGGATTTAATTGTATTTAATATGCTAATGAAAATACCCCAATTTCAAAAATTTACATTTTCGAAATAAGCAGAATATCGGCATTGTTTTGCACACATTTGTAATTGAGACGCTGGGCTAAAGGCAACCCATTCCTCGTCATGCACCTAATTGATGCAAATAGAGTCCCAGCCAAGTATTTAGTGCATACTGCAAGGTAAATTAAAATAATTTCATTTATATAATATTCTAATTTCTGAAACCCAAATTTAAAGTTTTTATCACCTGCAATTTCTAATATTCAAATTTATCATAAATTAACACTAAAATTATATTGGTATGTGTGTAATTGTTAATTCTAATTTATTGAGATGCACCCAGAAATGTCCTGCTTTTTCTTTGGTTGTGAACTTTTCAGAAAACACAGAAGGGGGAGGGAGAGAAAAGAAAAAACAGACATCCGTTTAAAGTGTTCTCATACCCCATGATGATTTTTTTCCCCTTCCTCTTGAGGTTTTCTGTCATATTTCATCACAAGTGCGCATGTGCCAACTGCCCCCCTTGTCTTCGTCCTGCCTGAATGTGCACAATCTTTTTTCCCTCATATGTTTGGCTTTGGTTTGATTTTTCCATGTTGTCCCTGTTCATGTTTGATCATCACCCCCAGCTGTAATTAATCAGATCTCATCTTTTGAAATCACTGTGTTCTAAATGGGAAAAAACCCACATCTGTTTGAGTGTACATTATTTCCTTCTGTCCTTTTTTCCCATTTAAACTGCATCCTTTAGGTAAGAAAACCAATGTGCATGATGTTCCAGCAGTGCTCCCAGACTTGTTGTGTGTATTATATCCCCCTTGTGACTGTACAGTGCTGTACTTAAAACTATTAGTGGCTACGTCATGGTACTGTGTGTCTGTCCAGGCCTGCACATGCTCACACACACATATACACAAAACTCCTGATCACAGCCTGATATTCTAAGGAATCTATCCATATGCACTGTCACAGGGCTTGTACTAAGTGTATTGTATATCTTAACCCCAACCCTGTGACAATGCATTAGCAAAAAGATTTAAAACTATCCTGCAGGCTATTCTGAGGTATTTTTTTATTTTTATATTCTAGATGTACGTAAAGTCCAATCAGCTTTAAATGAGCTCTGTGTTTCTTTCCGTCTAAAAGATTGTAAATGCAGCTTCGAGGTCCAAATTTTTCCCAAAAATCTATTTTGTTTATCAATCATGTAAACGAGTGACCTCGTCCTCTCTATTTAAAGTGAGAATGTGCAAAAAAAAAAAAAAAAAACGAGGCCTGAAGATGAGTGATCAGTCTCCACACTTATCAGAATTTGTGTATTTTTCTCATATTTTATATTGTTTTAAGTTATTCTTGTCCAATGTTTGTTTTTCTTATTTACGACCAGTTTGATTTGGTTTATGCAGTTGCAATGCAGTACAATGAGCTTAACAAAAAAAAAAAAAAGGCTTCCCAGTTTAAGTTCCACTTACCTTCCGGAACCAAAATGCATTTAAGACGATGCACTGCCGCGTCGGAGGGATGCCAGCCCTGCACAGTGTGTTATGATACATATAAGCTCTCACAGATTCACATCTCGTAATTTCGCGACCCGGTTTGTATTTGTTCTGATGGCAGATGTTGGGATGAAGCAGATAGATCTCAAAGAGACGCCGGTTGATATTGTAAAATGAACTCTGAAGAGGATTCTCCTTATGGGAGGGGTCTTTGGGCGGGGTTTGGGGATTTAAGGGATATTTGTATATAATGTAAATGACAAAATAGAGACACATTAACAGAAATGTATTCATTTTTTTCTCCAGTGGGAGTGTGCATAGTGTATTTAGAATTTGTAAAGCTTGCATCCTCCTGTCAGACGTTGCATTGAGAAAACTAGTCTGTGTTTGATTGCCTCTGTGCAGACCTCTCTAACCACGCCTGTTCATTTAATGTAAGATACTTAATGCCACCTTCCTCACGGGGTTCAGGAACAAACAAACAAAAAAAAGAGGGTTTTGCTTTGCTTAATGTTAAACCTCTGTGTTTTTCACTCTTACCTGTGTACTTTTTAAAGGTGCTACAAAATAATTAAAAAGCTTTTTAAGGTATAACTGAGCTTCAGGTGGCTCCCGAGTGTGGCATCCAAAAATTTACAGTTTGTAGAAACAAAATTTTGACAAATTTGTAACTTTTCTGAAATATGGCAAATGTGCTGTAAAGGTACAATCTGAAGCGATTGGCACAAGTGGCAATTGTCTTATTTGTTTTTTTTGTACATTCTGTGTACAATCATTTCATATTCTAAACTGGTCAGAAGAACATTGTGATTTTTAGTCTTGCAAATCTGTATGTAGTTAGATTATGTGACATCCTAATATTTATCTAATAAATATGTATTCAGATGAAACACATCAAACCGCTTCTGTCTTTTTCTATTATTGCTATCTGTGAAACAAATGTACTAAAAGCCCTGAAATATATATATTTTTTGTATTAACTTTAGAAGTAGCCTTAAATTTTAGGACATTTACTTTGTGTGTGGGGAAAAAATCACAAATGATAGAAGCAGATCATAAAAACTATGATAATAGCAATTAAAGTTGTTTTAAATTTATTTTTACATAAAGCATGCCTCACAGGCCCATTCCATGTAGCTACTGGCCACCAGGCTGGATAAGAAACCATGTTTAATTTGCCCAAATGCACAGTAACCAGAATGGTATTGAGGTAAAATAAAAATCAAGCTATAAAGCTGTGAGTGAGATGAATTAAGCAAAGAATTGCCTGTTTGGGTCAGATGCTATTGAAATGCTAACCCATTGTTTGGGAAGCCTCCCAGTAAGTCTTTTTCATCCTACAGTCACAAACCTACCAATACTGTATGTGGAATTTGTTTTTTGGCTTAACTAGAACCTTGTGCTTGACTTAGAAGAAGACTGAGCTCCTCAGCAAAAACACTTATTTATGGGTTTGGTGCAAGACTAAAGACAAATCTGTTCTGCATGGAAACTGTCCAATATGGTGAATGGTTTTTGAGGCTGGCCTCTTTATTCCTCCAAAGGCTCCCATAGCAAAAGGGAGCTCACAATAAAACCACTGTGTTAGATACTGTGACACAAATGGTGTAGTAAGTAAAAAGGAGGGAGGATTCTTTTTTCAAATTTTATAACTTAAGATCACTCTCCATGAATAGCAGATTCATGCAAAGCGTTTTACAAATACTAACAGTATCAGGGCTGCCAATAAATATGGAGGGTACTGTTTCTCTCTGAACAAATAACACTGTCTGTGCATTGCTTTAAGCAGTCATTCTAAAAAGTGTTTTCAGGTGGTTGTATGATTTTTTTTAAATTATATATACATGAAGCACATGCAGGGATGGAATGTTGAATACGGTTTTAGATTTTAGATTTTTTTAGATGACGTGTTGCTAGATTTGAGTGTGAATAAATAAATATACTGCCAAAAACAATCATTAGCTTTGCCTCAAGTGTGTAAACCCTATAGAGAAAATATACATTTTATTCAGCTAGTTAACAAGAGACTATTATCCAAACCTCAAAACAAAAACCATTTTTTTAAAGAAATTTGTATTTTTCAGTCTACACTCATTGGCAGTGGTGTACAGAGACATTTATTGGGGCAAGTGCTCAGGGCACCCTTATATGTATTATTTTAAGGTTAAAAACTCTTATTCCACTGACAGATCATCTTCCTTTCCTGTTCAGATAAGGGACAAATAATAATTATAATTATTTTCAGAAAATGTTACATATTTTCAGGTCGTTTTTTGCAGTCCAACATAAGCACAGAATTAAAAAATGCCGCTTAATCTACATGCCCCACTTAAAATGAATAGAACTTTATTAAAGTTATTTTTACAAATTGTGATAATTTGACCTTGTTTGGCATCATGTTTGCTTTGCATGTTTGTAATTTTGTCCATACAGCTTTTCGACAGTGAATAAGCAGCTTAGCAGTGAGAATTACAATTTCTGTTTAGAAAGTGCAGCAGTGATCAAAATGGGAACAGTGTAGGAGAGACATGGTGCATTGATGTGGAAGGTTCAGAGCAGTGCAAAAAAAAATGAAAAAAATGTGGTTCAAAATGCACTTGGAAAAACAGTTGAGTTCTATCTTGAAGATTCACCATGTAGTGCAGATATGTTTACAAGTGTGCGATTAGAGTTTTCAACAGTCTTATGGCAACGGGGGAAAAGCTGTTACAGAACCTGTTGAACCACTGAATACTGAGAAGCCTCTTCCTAGAGGGTAGCAAGGAGAACAATCTATGGTCGGGGTTTGAGGGGTCATACAGTAGATGATGTTACGCACTCAGGACACGCAGCGCTCGGATGAAATGTTTTTTATGGAGGGGAAAAGAGCCCCAATGCTCCTCTCTGCTGTTCTCACTACTCTTCCCATGTTCTTCCAGTCTGAGGCGCAGCAGCCCCCACACCACACAGTGAGACAGCTGGTCAGAACGCTCTCTATGGTGCTTCTGTAGAAGGTCGTGAGTATGGGTGGGGGCAGGTGGGTTCTCCTTATCCTCCACAGGAAGTACAAGCAGATATTATGGGTCAGATGCTGCCTCCTCTTTCAGTGATTAACCACTTAGGGGGGTGCTAATAAACTTATTTATAAAGAATCCTGTAAAATAATTAGTGCTAAAAGCAGGGTGGATGGATGGTTCAACAGAGCTATTGATCTGGGTGAGTTTGGCAACTGTATTAAAAATAAATCTGTGATTATTCTTTATTTACTCTATCAATGAGGAGAAATATGCTGCACTTGCTTTATACAGCAGAACATTTTTTCAGACTAGGTAGGATTCCTGTAGGCATTTAGAGCACCATTTTCTCTCCAGTTTCCTAGCATTTTGCCTTAGAGTGTACAGCTCTGCATTAAACCAGGGAGCCAGCTTTCTATTTTTAAATTTTTTTTTTCTTTTTCAAAGGGGCTGAGTCATCTAAGGCAGTACACAAAGAACTAGCAACCCCTTCAACAAAATCATCGACCTGTGATGGAGAATAAACTAAACTTTTTCCCTTTGCAACAATGCTCAGTAACACAGAGGAGAGAGAAAGTGAAATAGAGTCTTTAAAAGTAATTACTGAATTATGTGATAATGATCTGCTAAATTGAAACATTCTTTTGGGGGAGTAGAACTATGTTAATATCAGTGTCATATGTCAGTACAAGGTCCAAAGTGGGAAGATGAGAATATGTGGAACTACTCACATTTTAAATAAAGCCAATCGAGTCTAAGATAGCAGAAAAAAACATGATTCATACAAATAATCCGTTTTTTTTTTCTTTTTACATCAAAAAATATATTTTTCCAAAAAAGAAGCAAGGGGAAATATTTTCAGAATGTATACATTATGAACAAATTAACTGAATATTATATATTAGATATATTTCTACCACATTCAGGTGAGTATAACTTATTTGTTTGGATATATATGGTTGGATTTCTTTTATGGAGGACCAATCCTACCACAATTGAACATACAGGAATAAATAAATCTAGTGTTTTTGAGTTTTATGTTTTCATTTCATTTTATCCTTATGCTTTAAAGTGCATAATCTAAAGAAAGGAACAGCTAAAATGCAGATAAACATGGTTTAATCATATTTCGCCAGACTGCTCTTAGCATGTCTAAAGATGACATCAGAGAAGCAGTTTGACGAAGAAAATGTAAAAAGCGTAAAAATGGTCTCTCAAAAGCTATAAAACATTTTTTACAGATGTATATTACTATTCTTTAGTGAGTTAAGGATAGAAATAAGTAGTTTTAGTACCGTAATTACATTATTTATGGATACCAGGTGTATATTTGTTCTCGCATGTGCACAATGGATCATGCTTGTGGGACGGATCAGGTAGTGACAGGCAGAAATTGAGACTACTCATTTGCATCATGAGGCAGAAATGGATACAGAAATGTAAATACAACAGGCAGAAATAAATAGCATGGAAGAAATAAATAGGGTAAAAAAAATACAAAGGAAGACTAAACCAAACAAAAATATTATAACATGCACAAAAATAATTACTTAAAGAAATAAGTTATAAATAACTAAAGTTGAAGATTATAACAGACAATAAATAAATAAGGTAATTATTACAAAGGTGAAAAAACAATGAAGCTAATTAAAAGAGAGATATACATTTATGTCTCACTGTATAATCAAATTTCTATCTACATTAAATTGTTTATTGTATTTTAATTGTATGCTTATTTATTTTTGGAGCATTTATTTATTTCTGTATTTATTTTTAATTATGGCAGGATTGGTCCTCCGTATTCTTTGACCAGAAAGATTAAACATTATTCGGATGTTTTATTTCCTACCACGTGGTGTCGCTGTTTCCTTCCTTTCAAATCTGCCTCCTTCAGTGACGTCACATGTAAACAGTGTCTAACCCCCAATGGCCGCCTAACCTCAGCTGAGCAGCAATGTTACAAATTAAAAAGCGCATGAGGTACAGTCCGTTGGGTCTGGCTGCAGCTCGGCTGCTCTCCTCAGGGTCCACCAAGAAGCCCACCGTGTTTCTGGACATCGAGGCCGACGCTGAACCTCTAGGGAGAGTCATCATTGAGGTAGCAGCTGCAGCTAAACACACTAAGCTCCCATAGACTTTGGTTTTACTCACAGAGATCCTTACTGTTTCCTCTGACAGCTCAATGCGGATGTAGTGCCAAAGACTGCAGGTATGCATCTAAATTATCTTGAACAATCATGTTTGTTTATTTGAACTGTTATGCAAATATATTTGTGAACAGAAAACTTTAGAGCCTTGTGCACAGGAGAACATGGCTTTGGATACAGAGGCTGCAGGTTTCACAGGATCATCCCTGAATTCATGTGCCAGGTAGGAGGAGAAGTGATGAATAATAAAAATAAAATAAGTTGCAGGGATTGCCATGAGTTTCCATGTTTTGTTTTCTTTCACAGGGAGGAGACTTCACAAATAACGACGGCACAGGGGGCAAATCTATTTATGGAAAAACATTCAAAGATGAGAACTTCACTTTAAAACACACTGGTCCAGGTAAGAGCCAACATATTTTGGTAGAGTTCTTTCACTTTGTCAAACACATCAAACCTCCTCATGATTAGAAACACCACTGACAGAAAATGCATTGTTGGAAATCTTTTCTAATCCAGGTGTTCGCTGATTCCAGGTTTCTTATGTCAGTGTTTTGATCAGAATCACTAAACACAACCATGAGCAATACATTTTTTTCCTAAAATAACCTAAAACCCCAAAGTAAACAGCCTATGGATTTGAACAGAGCCATGGACAGTACTTTGCTAGCAGACCACAACCTGGCAGACCCCCACATATATATCAGGGCTGTGTAAAACTTATTTTGAGTCAAGAAGCAGTTTGTGGGGGAAAAAAATCACTTTGAAGACTGCAACAACGGAGAAACAAACTGTTTGCTTTGGGGAGTGGTGGACTTGTGGTTAGAGCATTGAGCTTGGTTTCTGAGTTCAAGTCCCACTCATTCCCACAGACTTCCACCCTGAGCCCCTGAGCAAAGCTCCTTTACTCCCCCGACTGCTCCCCGGGTAACACACAATGGCAGCCCACTGCTCCCCAAGTGATGGGTTAAATGCAGAGAGTGAATTTCCCCAATAAAGGGATTAACTTTTTTTTTCCAGTTATTATATTTGCATCTCCACTAGATGGCAGTGTCTAACCTCAGGCAGGCATAAAACCTTCTGGTCACATAGATTTCCCAACCCTGTTGTGAATGACCTACTTTTTAGTGACCAAAAATTCACAAGTCAAAATAATTTATTTTCTTAAATCAACATCAGAGATTGCATAAGCCACGGAGGAAGAAAAACAGGCCTTCGTTTCCTTAAAGTTTCTTTACTTTGTATCATATGTTTTAATGACACTTTTAGAGATGTTCTGCAGTCTAACAACCATCTTTTCTGAATGACTTTCTGATCTCTGCAGGAACCCTTTCAATGGCAAACTCAGGGCCTCACACAAACGGCTCCCAGTTCTTCATCTGTACGGCTAAAACTGAATGGTAAATCCTCACCTCGTTATAGAATATCCTCACATCCATACCCGTCTCCTAACGGCGTCTCATTTGGCAGGCTGGATGGTAAACATGTGGTCTTCGGGCAGGTGAAGGACGGCATAGATGTGGTCATGAAGATGCAGTCCTTTGGTCTGCATGATGGAGGTGTGCTAAAGACAATAGTAATCACTGATTGTGGAGAGATCAAATAGCAACCAAAGTCTTTCCTTTGATGCTTTATTATGCAACACTTATATTTTCTCTATTTATGATCTTTTAAATCAGGTTTTGTTTAAAAAATATATATATATAGCTTAATATTTTCTGCAAAATGATCAAGATATTGGTCAAAACAACTGATTGATCAATAATAAAAGGGCATTTATAAGTGTTTACAGATTTTTCATGATGCAATTAATGAGAATAAGTTAAGACATTTCTCCCAATAAAATACACCCAAATGCACTTTGTACAATCTGATGTACAAGAGTTAGAATAATATGCAAAAACCCAGTAATTGATCTGTTGCTTAAGTCCTTTATTTCAATAATAGTAGAAAAAATGAGAGGGTTTGATTTTTTTGTTGTTGTTGTATTTGTACAATACTTTAAAGGAAACGTCTGGTCATATTCAGAATTCAAACTTCTGAAAGTACTTTAAAAATAAAAATATACACTGTTCAATAAATGATAAGCGCTTATAATTAAGAGCAGTTTTCATTTGAATGTGCTTTACTGGAGACATCCATGTTTGTCAAAGAACACTACTGCCACCTACTGGTTTGTGACGTCACAGTGCGCTATCGGCGGTTGAGCAAGTCCCAGTGCTGTATCTGGTGTTTGTCACTACGTGCCATTATCCAAGTCATCTTGAAAACATTCTTCTTCGAAAAGTTGGCTACATATTAGGTGATTTTTTTTCTCTGGTCAGAAGTTCGATCGCAAATCCTGCCCCTTTAGTTTGGCAATCCAACGACAACTCGTGGATCATAAATCGGAAAGGTGAAATAGCTATTTTTTTTTTTCATTTTTACCCAATGTATTACAACATCCAACTGCCTTGCACGTGGGCATTGTCAGTTTAACTATAACTCTTGCGAAATTCAATAGTGAAGTCCTCTCAAAATCTTAAATAATTCTTGATTGCAGATGTGTAGTAATGCCCATTATTTTGCATGTAAAGCGGGGAGAATGGCGCTCGGCTTAACGCAACGTGATGTCACTGCCGGAAGCTGTTAGGAGTGAGCTGTTAGTATATTTATTCAAAAATGGCCACTCCCAGACTCTGTGTTTGCAACAAAAATTATAGTTTGTTTTTTTTTTTTACTTATTAACGTATACCTTTTAGGTATACATAATGATCCATTGATTATTCCTTGCAGACTGGACTTTTCCTTTAAATAAGATTAGAGAGGTTTCTCTCTCTTTTTCTTTTTTTTTTACTAGAGTAAACATTTTTCCAAAGTTTGTGCAATTTCTTGGTGTCATTGGGCTTTCTGTTGCCTAAGAGGCCAAACCATCAGCTTTTGTTTTGTTTTGTTTGTAGTGAAGCAGATGTCTCGGTGTGTTTTTGTGTATTTACTAATAGATACTTTCTATGCAAGTCCTTCTGAAAGTGGCCTGTTCGGCTGAAATGTAACCTTTCCAAGTATGTAATCTGCGTGGGAGCAAGAAGTGTGTTTATCCAAAAATGTGTATATGGTATATTGTTCAGCATTAATATGCTAGAGGGGAACGGACTTCACAGATGCGGAACTAACCCATGAACACACCCACACACTGCTGGACTCCAGCCTATAGCTGAGCCTTTTACACCTAGTGCCAAGATTTGTCATAATGAAATACAATTTTCTGATCCCTAAGACTTTTTTTTTTGTTTAGACTGGTTCCTTCCTATACTTTGTTGTACTTTAATTCTACAGGTATACACTTAATTTGTGGTTGCAGTACATGACAGGTTCAGTGACCTGAACACACTGAGTGATTTCCTGTGCTTTTTAACACATAAATACATGAGAACAGAAAGCAAATTCCTTTTTTTTATTAACCATAACTAATGTGTTTTCACAGGACCTGAACTGTATTCATGTTTTATTACGTATAGCGATGAATTACGCAAAATCTTCACTTCCAAAAGTGTTAAAAGTGGCTCAAATGTTTCACATTTGGGCCACTTTAACAGCTTTGTTGCCTTTTTCTATTTAAATTCCGTTTTATAAGATCTTATTCTTAGATATGAGATTTTAAAAATACAATATTACTTGGTCTGTAACTTCATGGACAATTAATAAGCAGTTTTACAGCTCTTTACAAGCTGTGGTCTGATTACAGGACATTTCTCTTGTGCCACCACCATGGTTTTAAAGCTTCCTGGAAACAAACAACAAAAAACAGTTCTTGCTTTTTTTAGACCAGCGTTTCTGCACAACCGACTTCCTGTCCTTTGGAGCAGGATGTGACATCCAGATCTGAACACAGTAACCAGAGGATGAACATGTAAACGACGGTATATGTACTCTGGGTTCAGTCGGGGCAGATTGTTTGGTTTGGTTTGCAGGAACCACAGAGGAACCTGAAGATGTGTTTAGATTTGCAAGTAGGCTCTTTATTTGAAAGGAGGAGGCCGGGCTCGGTCTGGAAGCCTGACAGTGGGTGGTGCTGCTTATCAAACGAATACTTTATGAAAGTAAATAATGAAGCAACGTGAAAAGGCAAGCGATCCACTGCTAAATAAAAGCACATGTGTCCTGACCTTCCATCGTTTGTTTGAATTCTCAGATTACATTGTTGCCATAGTGACTTTTTTTCCTGCTCCGGCTCTGTTTGGGCTAAAAGATGTTGTAACAAACTTGGTATAATTTGGGTCTCCACCCTCCCTTAGTTTTAGCCATTTGGAATGCAGACCCAAATATCGGGGATAAGAAAGCCTTTTGGTGCTGCGCAAACATGATCAAAACAATGACATCTTTTACAACCAAGACCAGCCGGTTTCTCTGTGAAATGTCTCTAATTTAGCACCCTCTGTCAGCTGCTGTCCTTTTTAAGTGTGTTTTGGGGGGTTTCCTGTTCACAGCCAGACTCCGGGTGTTGGAATGTAAGGCCTGGCAGTTTTAGGTGTCTGTTATCTTTCAGCACTTTCACGGAATGTAAAATTCCACAAAAAAAAAAGAAGTTTTACACATCTCTTATACAGCAGCCATGGATAATCCATTAGATCCACTCATCGTAATGTAAAATACTCAATCTTTACTTAAAGCTTGCACTCAAACACTTAGATTTTATACGATTGTAAGAACAAAAAATGTAAAGATTAAAAAAAAGATAATTTTTATTACATTTTGTTCCACTTAAACTACATAATGTCAGTATATTTGATTAAGAGTTTATGTGACAGACCAACATCTGTCTGCCCAATTTGAGATACACTCAATCCTTCTTAGAAATGTAGCTTTATTGACTTACAGGATGAAATAAAAAGGCACGCCTTGCTTTTTCAGTCAATTAAAGTTTTAGACAATTTTTATTTTTTTGTTCAAATCACATAAATTCACAATAAAAACCTTAAATTGTGCTGCTGCAAAATGACATGAAACAAACTGTAGATCTCTGGTAACAATAAGGAGGATTTGGCTAAAACCAGACATGATAAAATAAAAACACAACACTGTTTTAGCTGTTATAAATTTTCCTTTAATTTACCAAGCTCTCAACAGCTCCAAATCACTAATATGTTTTCCCATCTATCAAATAAGGCACATTTTGGAATGCCGTTTCATGGACACGGAAAAACAGACCTGTGGCCGACACTGCGAACCTCTCAGTCCTCGTTTCCCCACCAAAATAAAAAAAAAAAATCAATTACCTCGTGCCTGCATTCCTTCCAATTCAAACATTACATTATTGCAATATTGCATTGCAAACATCTCGAGATACAAACACATATACACTCACAGCACAGAGAGAAACAAAACGCTCCAACTCAACCACACTGTTAACACATTACATTCAGTAAATATGTGTTAATCAAAGAGGCTACATTGTGGTAAATGAGATACTTCGGGACTAACGTTGCAGATAATGTTCAGCTACTGTAAAGGGTTTTAAATAAGTGTAAATTGCACAAAGTAATATTTCATCCAAACACATGCACATGCAAACTCGGACAGTTCTTTGTCAAACACACTTTTCCTGACCAGAGCGTAACACGTCCTAAACTACGAATAACACTTTTATAACAGTTTCCTGTCGTTGCTGCTTTAAGCAAACTACATCTCACAGTTTAATGTGCTTATACAGTGGTGAATATCCATCACTAGAATAAAAACAAAAATACATTTCTGCATGTTAACACAATGAATCTGCATATTAGTGTTTACAAAAAGAATACATATTTTAGGGATGGTTAGTCGCATAGCAACAGGGGTTATTTAACACTGCTAACACACGAAAAATACAATGGCTTGTATGTGAGACATGGTATTAATTATGTACCAGCTTTTTGTCTAATAATACTCTATGTAGAGATCAATATTTCCTTCTTAGTGTAACTTTGTTGCATATTCTATACAAAAAGTCTTGTAAAAAGTATTTCCATAAATATTTCTGGAGGATATCCCTCCAGATAAATGTAAAATATAACAAGAACAAATTCCCCAGCTTTGATTATTTCCCAGCAACAGGCCCTTCTTTAGATCTTTAGAGAAACAAAAAGAAGCTAGATATTGCTAAACATTGGAACTCACAGCCATCAAATATATACAGAAAACGTCTCCGTCAGGGAAATAAGCTGCAGATTGCTTTAGAAATTTCAACATCTAGTTATGTTTCCAAAATACACATCTCATAGAAAAAACATATTTCTGATCTGCAGATGCACTAGAAAATTCAATACATTTATGTTTAAAAGTTCATTATCTCTTTTTTTTATGTATTCCACCATTTGCTTCAAGATAAGCCATTTATAATGGCGTTCTTATGTCACATTTCTGGATGGAAACAAACTGACAAGATTTTTTTATTGATCTTCTCCCAGAATAACACTGTTTCTTATGAGGTTAATTTGTAAGGCATCATTGGCATTTAGTCTGGCAAACCACTTAGTGTCAGTGAGCAAAGCAAAAACAAAACACTAGCAGTAAGACAATTGGATTGTTCCCGATATTGAAGCTCTGTTATGAGTCTAAGAAAAGAGAGACAATGCCAAATTTTCAGTTTAAAGAAGCACTACAGAACTTTTCATGAAAAAAGCTTCCTCATCATTTTTTAATGTAAAGCTAACAGATGAGCTTTCTCAAGCCTTAGAAAATGACCTTAGTGGTGTCAGGACAATCTGCCATAAGGGAGCTCAGTTTTAATCAATAGCCAAGAAGGCTTTTTAGTGTGGAAGTTGTTAAAAAAGAAGGAAGACTCTGCCTATTTCTCTATTGTAAAGGTGACAAAAAGATAATTTCAGAGTGACCAAAAAGAAATCTCCCTGAATGGGAATTTCTATGTTAGCTGTTCCTTCGGGCTGCAGCTCGTAGCTAGAAAATGGGACATCTGCAGGTAACAGAAAGCCCAACATTTTAAAGCACAGTTTCTAGTTTCTTTGTTTGAAGACTAGGGGAATCCAGTTTACCTGCAGAGCTGTGTAACTTCGTCTAACGCTTGTACACGAGGGACTTCTTATGGCTCCTCAGTAGCTACAATATTATTTGAATAAATGATAAAACCATTAACTACCAAAGTAAACAATGTTCCTCCCATATGTTGAGTTGGAGACATCTCTCATTTTGAATAATTTTCTAAAATAAAATCATATTTACATTTCAAGTTGTGCAAAAGAAAGATCTATAGTCCTTCCTAGTTAGGTTTTATTGGTACGGATGCATTTGTCTCCATACCAGCTGAGACTCTGCTGTATTATATAAAGTCACCAATGGAGAGAGATTTCATTTTATGTTGGAAGTACAAAAATACTTATTTTTATTTTATACAGCTCATAAAGTAAATATTTCAATAATCAGAAATGAGTATGGAGAGGTCAGAAAGCTTTGACTGGCTCATTACCAACACCTGACGTTCACAGGAGATCCAATCATTAGGGATATTTCCACCTGCTGCATGAAGGCAATTAGATCCTATTGTTTACTGCATATTTCTAGGTGGTCTTTCTGTAAACATATATGGCCCAATGTCTTTGGCACTCAATAGGCTACAGGTTCTGCACCACCGTGTGTTGCCAGCGACTTGCATAAGCATTTCATTACAAGCAGATGAGGAATGAGTAGTGCATTAGAGCCTATAGCTGGTAAAGGAATTCCACCGGGTCTTTACTAACAGGTATCCTAAACACTTTTAGGATGTTAAATCACATCACATTTTAATTCCAGGCCTGAGTTGTTATTTAAAGCTCACTATAAGCGATTTAATCATCCCGAAAAAGCAAGTTAATGCCAGGTATGATGTAATCTTTTAACAGGCAGGGTAGTTTGCAAATGATTATGTTATGGGACTATATGGAAAACAGATTAGTGGAATTTTGATTTTATTCCAAGTGACTTAAAAGTGAGTAAGACGTTTGGTTCTGTTAGTGTTAAGCCCTTCAGCTTAGTGGACCAGCAGATCTAAATCCCTGGAGTGCCCTTTTAACTGAAAAGTTGGCATTTAGTTACATTTCCACACACAGTGATGTAACAATGACTCCAAATGCTGCAAGTTACTGTTTATGCTTTTTATGTTGTTTTTTTGTCCTGTTTTGTTTTTGACAAAAACCAACATTCTCTTGGATAAACGCAACCGCAATATATAATAAGGGAAAACAAAACAAAGCGTGAGGTCCAAAGTTTCATAAGCATTTCACTCTGCTGAGAGGATCGAAAGAAGAAATAAAATCTATGTTGATATTCCATGACAACAGACCACAGTGGGATTGTTATTGCCAGCTGGAAACGCTGGTCCAGCAAATTGCTCTGAAGTGAACACCCGCCATGCCAGTTCAACCGCTAATAGAGGGGCTTTAATCTTTTTCTCATCCTTTGTCACATCTTGAACCTCCATCAGACTTTCTGAGCATCCCAGTTAGCACATACACTGCTCCACCTTTGAGCCCACCACACTTACCCTTCAACCTTCAAACCCATTGAAGGCACATGCATTTTACAGTATAAAAATATATTCAACCGGTCTTGAAAAGGCATGAAATACAGTACATATAACATGTAACAATCTTATGGAAAAATAAACCCTTAAAAGGCAGATTTCAGTCATTTAAAACACTAATTCTTCAAATCTACAGTTTGAAAATACCTCCTTTTTATTACAAAGTTTAAGATCAAAGGCACTGAGAAAAATACTGCATCATATAACGTTCTATATTTATAACAATTATCTTTGCCTCTAAAATACCAGACTTCCAATTCATTTCTTCCACCTTAAAAATACTGCTGGGCTTTAACGAATAGTCCAGGATTTGTAAAATTTAGTTCTATTAGAAGGTTAAAAGCAGTTAATATTTAAGCAGCAGCAACTTTTTGCTGTCTGAATTCAATATAAATGTAGATTTGTTGGTTCTGGAATCTGAAGCTAACAGCTAGTAATGGAAAGACCACAGTGGTCGTCTGCCTCGTTAGACAAGGTATCAGATCCTCACAGAGTGATAAAGTTGCGTAGAAATACGGTACCATGGAAAATAAAGAAAAATGTTTTCATTTCTACCATAAATAGACAATTATTCTAACTGCTCCTATTATAATGTACAATTTTGCTAACTACTGTTATAATACTTTTAAGGTTAACATTTCTGTACTTTTATTTTAATGCTAATATAAACCAAAATAATAGAACATGTAGCAGTTTTCCACTTCTTATTAGTCCGTTTGATACTATCCTGTTTGCTGTCCTGTTCCTCTTAGATTGAAGTTGAGAGTTATAAGCTTTTGGACATGGGAGATTGTTTTGTTCAACTTAGTCGTTCTTCTAAGCGAGGAAAAAGTGCATTAACCTTTTTTCAGACCCAGGCCTTGGAGTCCACAGCGCAATGTGGGGGAGGGGAGTATAACAATACTCTCTACTCCACACTGCCTGAGAAAACACTGGTGAACCCACAACGTCTCTTTGAAATTTTAAGAAAAAGAACTTTTCACTTTAAGAACAGCAACCAAAACATCTCTGCTTCAAAATTCAACAAAAACCAATGTGTTTTTTTTTTTATAGAGATGTTACTGAACAGCTAGTTATCATTAAAAAGGAAATGACAGTCAGAGCCAGAGCTCTACAGATAAGCTTTCTGTGCAAACTGCATCCTGAGGAGGGAACATATTAGGTGTTTTATAAAGTTATGACCTGATAGAAGAAAAAGGCAATCTAAAAAATGCATTCATTGGAATATTCACTTTTTACACTTTTGCTCTCATAATAAATAGATACGTAGCGGTTATAAGTACATTTTTTACACAGGAAGATCATGGATGGTACACCACACTGTCTGGACCCTCTCAGAGTAGCTGTTAGCCTCTGAATCCAGCTAATCTGGATTTATAATCAATGATAAAGAAAACGGGCAAAATATTGACTGCTTAGAACATTTTAACAGAACTTCTCCTGCAAATCCTTTCAATTCAGCCGTTAGCTCCTGGACATGAAGGTGATACATATGTACTAAACTATTCCAAGGACTTCATTGATAAAAAAAAAATACTTTTCTTTTTGACGAGACCATGCTCGGTCTGTAACTCTTGTCCTACCCATTGACCCTTCTTTTTTCCCGTGTTACAGTAATCTGTCCAACATCTGCTTCTGATGAACGTAGGTAAATCAAATCTAAGAAAATACTCCAGAGGGGGGTTCGCTGAAACCGCTTGTCTACATTTTTGCGAAAACGCATCTGAGGCGTGACTCTATACAACTGAACCTACAGTAGTTCCTAAATACAAACGGACGCAGTAACACAATGTGGTACAACAGACAGAAGAACAAAATCCTATATGTCCCAGTTAAAATTCAAATTGCACACTACAAGAAAAGGAAATAAATATGTGAAATGTAAGCTCGGGATGTATGGCACTTTATCCCTCAGTAAATTCACAGTTAGTAAGATGTGCTGCTGACCCCTAAAAATGGACGCCGGGCATCACTAGAAGCTCCCCGACTAAAATGTTCATCGCATCGCATACTTCACTTGGCAAGAAAAAGGAAAGCAGATCTTTGTAAACACAAAGCCAATAAACCCCGAGGTGAGGTATTGACACTAAACACATTGTCAGTGACACCAATACGATACATGCTTGGTGCTAGTTCATCAATACATTAATTGGCTGCAGTTAAATATACAGTTGGAGTAATAGTTTCTAATATATGCTTTTATAATTTTTGAAAAGCGTGCAAGATGAATGATCCTGATCTTATAGGAGAAATGTAAAAAGGGAGGTCTAGAGCTACCATCTTGAAGCACAGAGTGGAAAAGAAGGGAGGACCTGCATGTCAACAGGTAACATGACTTCTGACGCCAAAGTTCTTTCGCTCTGGGTGGAGATGATTATTGCACGCGGCGGCAGTAGTAGCCCAGGACTTTACATTTCTCACACAGGTGCTGCGGATGTTCCTTACTCTGGTCTGACACATCCAGGCCGTCTGGCTTCTCTAAAGGTCGCTGGGAAAAAATAAAAAAAATGGACAAATACTGGGTCAGATGGATAAAGTTAACACAGAAACTTCAGATTCAGCCTTTTACCAGCTGGACTACTTTCTCCAGGTCGTTTGATGGACTAACCCTATACGTCTAGTCACAATAACCTTTTAATACCAACAGATGGCGCCTCAAAATCTGACCAATGTGAGCAGTTCTGTGATCTCAAAGTGCTGCACTTAGAAGTTATGATGATGATATCTAAATGTGACATTCATGATGGTTCATGTATTAAATGCGAAATGTGATTGGAAATAATTAACCTACAATAGAGGTTTGTTGATATTTTCAGTCTTTCTCTATGAAATGAAACATGGTATGCTACGTTTTCAGCATTTATTTTTCTATTTGTAATGAATTTACAACAATCTAAAAAAGTGTTTTTCACATTGTCATAATGGGGGAGTTTTTGTTGAATTTTGAGGAGAGATTAATTTGATACCATTTGGAATACGTCTGTAGTATAACTTAATGTGGAAAAAGTGTAATGCTGTGAATACTTTCCAGACACACCTTGGTTAAGGAAAAAATGATCAAATCTATCTCTTTTTGGCTTTGGAACAGGAGATAGCCAGAAATTTACCGAAATGTTTTCTTTTGTCATTGAATTATAAGAAACAGTGTTCAAAAGCTTGGGTCCTGGTTATGTAGCTCTGACCCTTTTCAGTTCGGGTTTATAAAGCAGACTGCTTCATTAAAGGTTTTTCAATTTTTTTTAATTATTTTTTTTTTTATTCCTGCTGTTTAAAAAAGGCTGAAGGTTTCTTATCTATCTGATAGACCATTCAGTGTCATGACAGACACATTATTCTCTGCTATTATGTAGGGAAAAGAGAAGCTGGTACTATTTGTTTAGTTTCAAATTTTTGGTTGCAATTAACACAGATGAATCTGTTGATTAATCAATTAATAATAGCCAAAGGTTCCTTAAAGAATATTTTTTTATGGAACTAAACCAGGTGAGACTAAAACTTTTCCATTTGAGGTGTTTTGGACAGAGCATATTGACAAACGAAAACATTTTTTTTTTTACTTAAATGGAAAATGTTTTTATGATATTTTACAATTTTTGCTCCGTCAGCTAAAGGCATGTTTTAGTCTCTATACTCCAGTTAACAATTAATCAATTACTAAGTTAGTGGACGATTTTTTAATAATCGATTAATCCGATTAATTGTTTCAGCCCTATTCTATTTTATATCATTTATCACATCTATGCAGATTAACATCCAACTGTGTGTCTTGTAAATGAATCCTGCTAGATAAGCTGGTCACCATGGCCAAATGTCTTTCTCACATCAGTCTCCAGCATTCATAGATTCAAACACACATAAGTCATTGCATCACGTTGTTTAGTTGCTTAATTCTGCACATAAAGCAAATGCAATGTGAATAATGTAGAACAGGGGTCTTCAACGTTTCCCAGGCCTAGGACCCCCAAACTGATGGCGAGATGGGAGCCGGGACCCCCTAATTATACTGTACATATTGTATGAAATTGTATTATATCAAGTTGGTGCTATGGTCACTCTATTAAAAATGGTGTCATGTAACGAAAGTAGTTTCTCCCTGGGATTATTAAACTATTTCTGATTCTAATTCTTCATTGATGGGACAGGTGTTGTGAATGAAACCGTGCCCAGCTTGAAAGAGCTCCTGTGTGTCGCTGAATGTGTGCATTGATGACTGAAAGAGATCTTCTGCCTCAATTTATCTGTTTACTGTAGTGTGTTGAATTCATGTTAATGTGTATTTAAACACATTTCAATTAGTAGAAAAATTGCAGGGGGAATATATATATATATATATATAAAAAAAAAAAGTCTAATCAACCAAACCTTTCGCGACCCCCATGAAGTACCCCTATGGACCCCCTAGGGGTCGCGGACCCCCTGTTCCTGTAGCTTTAATTTTCATAGAAATGTTAAAAGTACCAGAAATTAGGCTTTTTTCCATTGTCCCTTCAGTTTGTGACTCACAGATTTACCTGCAGATATTGCTTTTTAGGTTAGCTAAGAAATAACATTCAAGATTTTATGTCCTGATGTTCTGTTTGTTTTTTTTTATGTTTTTTTTGGGTACTATTTACAACTCCAATGTGATTTAAACAACTATAACTTTTACTAAACATTTTAGTAAAAATACAAAAATCTCTAATAATATTTTTCCAAATCTTCTTCATTCTTCAAATTTGTTAAAAAAAATTTAAATAATTGAATTAGAAGGGAACATTTTCCCTTTTTCTTTTTCTGATTTATTTTGGAGACTGAACTAGTTATGCACACTGAAATCATTTAAAGAAAAGCTGATAGTTACACTAAAGACTAAAGAAAACAAGCACCAGTGAGTTTTGCAAACAACTATTTGGCAGCACGTTTGGCCTCAATAACACCGTATGGAAGTTCTTCACAGACCAGATTAGTTCTAAACACAATTAATTCAGAGATATGGAAAGCTGCAAGGCGCTTTAACTGTTTCAGAAAGAGAGAGATTATCATCTGATTATGATGGACTGCTTGGAAATATTAGAATCTGGTTTCTTGGAATCATTATCAGCTACAAAGGAAACCTTTCTGAGCCAGCACGTTTGGAGGTGATTTTTAAAGCCCATCTGGAAATTTTTACCTCTCATTTATTCCTTTCTTCTTTAGAACCCCCCTGAAAACACGTATTTATTCCGACTGGTTTGACTAAAGGAAACCCAGTTAGCATGGGTCATTACAAGGAGATACTTCAGGTTTCCACTAATGACTCTTCCAGCAATTTCAGGGACTTTACATCTGCTGTGTCAAAGACATTAGGTCCTAAAGGAAAAGTGGAAAATCGGAAGGAAATTTTATGGAGTTCCATTTGTGGTTACAGGGAACCTGGAGGACATTCTTCCTCTGCTGAACTGTAATCAAGCAAGGATGTTCATTAGACATAGGGAATCTTTTGGCTTATAAAAGTACAGCCTGAGCTTTTGATAGATAAGCATTTGATACATAAGCTGGAACATATTTGATATTAAATGTGTTTGGGGGGATTTATTTGAGCATACCTAAAAACTAAGTAGTCTAAAATGTATGATGTGCATTTAAAATAATCCTGTTAAAAGGGGTTTAGACATGTTTCTCATCTTTATACTTTACTTATGGGTTTTACTAGAAGACATAACTTGAAACATTACATCGAAACATATTTATGTCTTTTTAAATATCTACAAATAACATTGTTTTAAATTGTTGGTTAATTCAATATATGGGGTATCTAAAACCAATTACAATAATTACTCGATTTAATAGTCATATGTTTAAGTGTTTATAGATATATAACAGGCGGATACTTTCGACAAAGTGTGAAAATGTTAGAGTTGGGAGTAATGTGACTCAATGTTGTCGTAGGACCTTCTTGGAGACCACTTTGTTGGCAGATTGTTGCACACTTTTATGAAATAATTTTAGAAAAATAGAAAGTGATATTTCACAAAATATTAAAAATAAAGCCTTTAAAGGCAATAATATGGTGTATGGGATATCGGGCAGTCTTTTTCTTCCTTTTTATTCTTTAACGCCGTCATACTCTGCCACAGAGAAAAAATAAAAGTGGAAACTGCAGAAACCTGTTAGCAGACTGACACAAATTTGAGATATTTACAATCCCTAAACTCCAGACATTGTTACAGCTAGCAATGCTTACCATGCGTATAAAAATATAGTCATAATGGCAAACAAAAACATCATCATATGCTGTTTACTTTGTTTCAAATCATTTTTTTCCTTATTTTTTTACAGTGAATTATTTAGATTCTCATGTACACATTGTGTAATATGTCATGATCTCTAGCTCTTAGGTTATGATTGTTTATTTTTCAGCACTTTCCTTATTGATTTTTTTGTGTTTTATAGTTCTTGCCATACTCTGTTGTAATTGCTGCCTTTTGGGATTTGCCGTATTAGTTTATTTCCTCATGCTCAGCGTCGTCAGATGTTTTTAATTTTTTTTCTGAAAATTTTGTTACTTTTTTTCTGTGGTCATATCTATTCCTGAGCAAGCCCAGAAAAAAAACAGTCCTGGTACTGAAAGCAGTGAAGGAAACATTTAATAAATTGTTAGTGTGGAGTGGAGCTAGGCCAAGTGGAGCTGGTGGAAAATATGTTCATCAGTGGGCGTTTGTGTTGGCCTTAAATTCAAAATTTAAACCATAACACTTTGTTAAAGATCTTAAAGAGTATCTTCATCTGTCCAGATTTGCATTGGCAGATCAGTGCCTCTTTTTCAAATAAAAGATTAAATTCAGATTTCAGGTTTATTCTGGACAGTAAAAAAAAAAAAAAAATCTAAACGTGAACGTTTCTTTTCTCTTTTTTTTGAGAATAAAAAAAGCATTTACTAGATGAGATGTTTTGCTTTCAACCACTCTGACATTCTTGTAACCTACTAATAATAAATCATTTTTATGACCTTAAAGAGGTCTTTAAAATGTTTTCTTTGGATGCTTTTTTTAACTAACTTTTAGTCCAGTAGAAATTTTTAGAGAATATTTTAACGTTTGCTAACTTAACTCTGATCTAAGGATAATTATTCTCTTAATTTGTGTGATAACCCAGCTTATTAATAACCAGCATTCTAGATTCAGTGACTGAAAAAATTTACATTTTACTTTAACATATCCCAGCTGCAATATATTGGAAATATCTGTTATTTTTAAACTTTATTTAATGCAAGTATAAACAGAGAGCAGTTCCTCTAGGAGTAGTCCTTGCTTTATTTCTGCAAGAGGAATTGCAAGAATGTGGGGAAACATAAATATTAAAAGATGAAGTGTTGGGGATAAATATACCTCCAGCTGTAAAACACTAGATTCTTTCTTTCCCTCTACACCAAAACAAGCCATGAGGAACATTTTTCAGACAGTAAACTGAACACAGGGGTTATCCAGCATGTTAATTGAAGCATATGTGATTTAGAAAAACCCTTTATGGTTAATATGATTTCATGTTTTCTTCCTGAACACAAGGAGAGTTTCCGCAGCTTAATTCGCTGCAGAAATGTCTAAGGGAGCCATGTTTCTCGTAGTTTTGAGCTGATTTACTGCATAATTGTAAACATTTATGAATCAGGAAATGTAATTTGTTTATTCAATACTTTAACATCAGTGTAGATAAAGTGGTTTTTATTTCACTTAATTGAGGCCATCTGGGAAATCATTAAACAAGAGCCTGAAGTCAGTTAACTCTGGTTGGTACGAGCCAGGTTTTGTGTGTTCATAACATTTTCCAGTTCAGATAATGCTATGATAGGTTGGCTGGTGTACCTGTTTGTGTGGATAGACATTGATGTGGCATTTGATGCATTCTTGCCCCATGTTGGCCCAGGAATTGCCACTCATCCACTTCCTCTTACACTTAGGGCACTTGTACTCGCCGAAGCATCTCTTCTTCCCCTGGTAGGGTGTCAGTCCTTCCCCTTTGGGTCTGGCCTATAACAGGAGAAAATACATCAACTGATAAATAGGGAGGTTTATTTAGCTGTGAGATCCTTGGTTTAATAGAACACTTAAAACAGACAAACAAAGTAATTTTCAAGCAGAGGGACATTGAAACCCCTGCAGCAGATGGATAACAACTGGGTGTTTCCATCTTTGTTGTGCTCATATATCAGACCTCATCACACGCAGAACACTCATGCACACTCGATATGAGGTTGTATAAATGACGTTTGCTTCCATTACAGCTGTGTTAAATTACCCCTCTGATTCTCTACAGGGAGATGATTGCAAACAGTCAGTCAGCCATGAGAAAAAGAACTCGCCCAAGGACGATATTGTCAAGAGGCGCCGCCCCATGACTTCATGTTGGCAGCTGCTTTTTGGCCACTATAATAACATTTAGGAAAGGGACTATTTTTTTTCCTCCAATAAAGAAGACTCACAAACAAATACGCCACAGATGACATTTACAGCATAAATCAGAGCCTGCCAAAATAAACCCAAATTCAAATGTATCTGTTGGTTTGTTAGATTATGTCATAATCAATCTCAGATCTCTGTCAGATTTATCTCTGTCTGTCAGAAAATGAGAACAAGGGGGGATTTCAAACCTGACTTTTTTTTTTTGCACAGAGTGTTATCAGATGTGGCAGGAAAGAAAAAATCTTGATGCATGAAGATGGTAGTTCTCCAAAATGTCAGGGAGCTCTGCCTTTAAAGTGAAATCTGAACTATCTTGACACCTCAGCCTCATCCTAGAGGATTGTTTTCGTTATCAGCCCAAAATTTTGGATGCAGTGGATGAGTTACAACCACACAGTTTAATGTATTTTAATAGGATTTAAAAGCCTGTTTTCTTTGCTTGCTTTGCACATCCAGTGACTTAAATTCTTTTTTGCAAAGTAACTCAAGTTGAGTGTGACTTGATAAAGAGTGTCTGTGAAAGTCGATTTTAAAGTCCAGCCATAGATTTTAAAATGGACTTAGGTCCTGACAATGATGTGAACATCCATCCATATTTTAAAGCTTTGATAAACCATCAGATCGTTGGTTTAATGCATAGAACAGATAAGTATGTGGATGCATGGATAATTTTCTCTAACTGAATAAAAAAAAAAAACTGAGGTAATAGTCTAGAGATCGCGAGTTAGCTCACAGCTTCAGCTGATTATGGCCGAAAACTTGGTTTCATGATGGACTCAGACCTGAACCTTCAGAGGCCTACTCTATACACCAAGAACTAGAACCAAACATGGAAAAGCAGCATTCAGTTACTATGCTCCACTTATCTGAAACAAACGTTTTTGTGTTTGTATTTTCAAAAACAAATTGCAATATGACAAAGTTTAACTAAGGCCTAGGCCACATGAAAGAAAGTAAAAAAGAGTTGACATAGCAACCCTGAAGAAACTGTAGTTTGTATGCCAGGCCCTTTGGTGGAGCTGTGATACTGTCCCAGAAATATGCTAAAACCATCATTTTGAGAAAACTCCTTGAAGATTAACAGATTAAGATGGAGGATATTCGATTATTATCATTAGGATACAAAGTGAAGGAGGTAAATGTATAAGCTAGAATACTGGCGGCAAAGAGACACATGTGGGTTAGAGTTAATTGGCCCATTATGATTTAGGAAAAGGTATGGCTCGCATGTACCACAGAAACAGAAAACCAAAGTGTTTATTTTTCCACTTTGGGATCTGATTTAACTATTTTACATTTCCCTAAAACACCAGATCTGTGTGGACAAGGCCTTGATCTTTATTTCAATCCAGCCAGTGGATGATCAGCTGTTTATATGTTTGCAGTTTGCCTTTTTCTAATCATGGACTGCACAATTGTGCAATGTTTAAATAATGAAATAGTGTTAGTCAGAACCAATTTCATGATGCTGCTAATGTTGTCTAACAAATCTATGAGGTCTTCATAGAAAAATTGCTCTATGAAAGATGGGCCAGTAAAAGAAATTAATCTTGTACCCTCTGAGGGCATCTTCGGTTATGGTTGGAGCAAGGCAAGTCTATTTATATAGTACGTTTCAATAGCGAAACAATTCAAAGTGTTTTACGTGGTAAAAAAGAAGGAAAAAAATTGTTAATGAACTCAAATAATTAAAATATGATTCATACTATAATAATTAAATTCAGTTGAAATGAATAACAGAATTTGATTATAGCAAAAGTGATTATAAATGGATTGATAAGAAAAATTGGGAAAGCTGGACTGAAAACTTAGCTAATAATGTTAAGACTGCATAAAGGTCATTCTAAACAAATATGTTTGCATCTTGATTTTAAGCAACTTTAATATAAAGTAACAGGAGGCTTTTAAAGTTTTACTGTATGGGAGTTTGTTCAACCTTGGCGGAGGATAAGAACTAAAAGCTACTAAATGCTTCTGGTTCTGAGTATATAGAGTAGATTTGACCCGATACATTATTTAAAAAAAAGGTCTAATATATTTTGGTGCTAAGCCATTCATTGATTTATAGACTAACAGGAGTATCTTGAAGTCTGATCTCTGAGATATAGGGAGTAAATGGAATGACTTTAGAGCTAGGCTGATATGTTCTACTTCCTTAGTTTTAGTGAGGACACAGGCAGCAACATTCTGGATCAGTTGCAACTCTAAACCATTTTTTAGGCAGAGCTTTGTAGAGACTGTTACATAATCAATTCTCTAAAGATGAACGGATGAATGATTTTTTTAAGAACCTGCTTAGACATCTGTCCTCTGATCCTGGAGATGTTCTGCAGGTGACAGGAGATAATTGGAATGGAGATGAATATAAAATAATGTAAAACTTTCCTTTTTTGCATTACTCATAAAATGTACTCTAAGCGATATATTAGAGATGTATAAGATGTGAATGTGGAAAAAAAGTATAAGGTCTATGGAAGCTTATGCAAGGAGCTGTGTTGCTGGCCTTTTTTATTGCTTAGTTCTAGCCTAAGTATGAGTAATAGAAGCTTAAATCATCAGCATCTGGTCCTTTCCAAACAGACCTCAGTACTCTGCATCATCAGCACCAGCAGGTTTGAAATAAGTAAAAAGGGCAGAGCTTCAATCTGGCTCCTCAGGAGCATGACCTCAACCCCCAACTGTCAGTCTTTGCATCCTCCAGTATGACAGAATGCAGCCTGGAAAATCTGACTCCTGCTGGCCTATTCCTATTTTTCTTGATGCAATCGATGGGAAATGTTTCAGACAACAGTGTTTAGCTGTGATGTGTTTAGAAAACGGAATGTTATGCTGGAAACTACTACAAATAATGCAGTTACTAAATAGTCAAAGTATAAAAAAAAGGCTGACGTTCGCAGTCATATGAAAAGAAAATCCAGCAGAGCGTGCAGTGGGTTGTGAAATAAATGTGACAATTCTCAGTTTTAAGATTAATACGCTAGGTGTATAATCCTAAACCACAGTATTCCTTTAGAAATAGAAATACAAGCCTAAAGGCAATTTTCTGATAGAACAGTTTGTTCAAATGTGAAAACCAAAAATCTCTGAAACTGCAGCGAGGACTTAGCAGGACATAAACAGCACTGATTTATCTCATAACCGTTCCTTTTTTTTCTTTTTTGTTGCTCCCTGCTGTTTGAAGGGTCTGGCCTTGGCCCTTGGCTGCACATCATGCTCTGCCTTTAGCTGAAGACTTTCAGATTAGCTTAAACCTCTCTGTCCAACTAGGCTGTATTTCAGAAGCAAGATGGGTGTAACATTTTGGAACCTTTAATGATTTTTATAACTGAACTTTATCAATCTCACTCTGGAGAAATGCACCTCTGAACTTGACCCATTCTCCCCTTGGGGAGCAGGGGGCTGCGATTGTGCGGCACCCGGGAGCAGTGTTGGGTTAAGGGTCTTCCTCAGGGAGCTAGAGTGCAGGCTGTGGAGATCGAACCGGGTACTTTCAACCTTTTCAGAGGACAAACGCGTTGCTCTAACCCACTAGGACACTCCCACATGCTGTTGACCTATTTACAATGTACACACCTGGACTTCTATAAGTAAGGATATAACATTTGACACAGTATTTGATCTGGGTTACCATGAACAGCAGCTTTTTATACATTTTTTTCACATTATTTCACTTTTGATGATTGCAAATAACAAAAATCTTTTGATCAGAATATCCCATGACAAATAAGAGGCAACCAGTCCAGACCACTAGTTGAACATATATATAATTTGATTTTATAATCTATACATATTTAGCTTTGTAATTTATAAAAAAAAAATCCAGCATGCAATTTGATTAAACCATTAGAATAAATCCCTTTGAAAATCCTCCATAAAGGTTTTATGAATGTCGTCTTGATACTTTTTTAGTTAAACTTCTGTAGAAAAATATGTTGATTTATTTTTTGGTAGACAAAGCATGTTCAAAATGTTCCACTTTTATGCACATTCGCTGTGTAAATTTGGCTTTGCATAATTGCAAATCACCACGGAGCTCTTTTGGACACTTGGAGTCGTAAATCTCAGCGTTGCACTCAAACTGTGGTCAGCTGTTATGAGACCATTGCAACACTGGCTGTCATGGAGGTCTCCGGCGAAAGCAGCAAGTTTAGGCACTGAAGTCACTGACTACAATCCCGGTTGATGCTTCACATTCCACTGGACCCGATGGAACACATGGGAAAGACTCCAACATTATCTGTATTACTGTGCCATTATAGCTGGTATAGATGAAGACAGCAGAGACATTTTTATCATACAAATAAAAGCCCTCTCACTCTGCCTTTTTTAATGCAGTAACCAGCAGATCAAAGCTCTCAGCTGTAACTGTTTCAGCTAAGCTTGATTTCCAGAGAGGTAGAATTTATTAACTGTACACAGCGCACTCAGCTCAATGACTAATAAGATGGACCTGCGTCATCACACCACACAGTGCTCTGGGAGATGAGCCGGCATGAGAAATATCTGCTTTTTTTTGGCTGTTTTCCATTGCAGTCCTTAATTTAAAAGCTTAGAGTCACAGCTAAATG